CTATATATAGCTGGGTCCAGCCTCAGTCCCGCATTGAGTAGAGGATGGAGTAGAGGTTCTCTTGGGATGACGGCAGTGTAGCGGTAGTCTTCCAGCGCTGGGCACTGATAAGACTTAGTGCAGGGAGAGGAGAGAGACTGTGGCAGAAGCCAGAGGACTTACCTGAGACTTACCTGCGACGCCATCGCTCCAGCTTACCTGCATCAAGGTGCCACCTTTCGCAGGTCAGTACCTGGTATAGAGAGAGAGAGAGAGAGAGCGATCTTCTTCTTCTTCCTCCTCCAGTCCACCACCTTCTTCTTTCCCTTCCCGCGCCCTGACTTCTACATATCAGGCTATGTGTGTGTGTGTGTGTGTGTGTGTGTGTGTGAGAGAGAGAGAGAGAGAGAGAGAGAGAGGGATTGACGACATTTGGGATTCAGACTCGGCATTGGACAGAGACGTTGCGGGGGACTATTTGGGATTGATATCAGCGACATTCGGGTTGACGACATTCTCATCTCCTCCCCTCTCTTCTTTGTCACTTCCCCCTCCTCCTCATCTGTGAATGACCTAGGCCTGGCACCTTCGTCCCTGTGTGCGGTGGCAGGCCATTCACACCGTGTGATGATGATGATGTATGCCCAGTCTGCATTTCAACATTGATTGGGTCTGATCATTGGTATTCCAGTCTTCCCCTGTGCTATCTTGCTCTATCTGTGAGGGGTCGGTTCTTGGTTCTGGTCTGTACCATTTGGTATCGGAGCAGACCTCTCGAAAGAGGATCTGCCCAATCAAGAAACCAAATTGATTGATTGATTGATTGATTGATTGATTGATTGATCGATTGAGTAGGGCTTCGTCAAATTTCTGCAAAAACAAAATTCTGTTCTACTAAAGTTGTCAGCTTGATTAGCGCTAATTAGCACTAACCCCGGATTTGCGCTAATCACTAATTAGCACTAATCCACTGACCCTAATCAAGATTAACAACTAATTAACGGATTAAAGTTTTGCATATTCTTTTTCTTTCGTTTTCTTTTTCTGTTGTAACTAATTTCGCACTTCGGCATTTTTTAAATCCCCGAATTTCGCTATTCCGAGAAATCCGCAAATTTCGGAAATCCCCAAAACAGCGGCATTCCGCCATTCCCGCAGAAATACGAAAGTGACAATTTAGGGTTAGGACAGTTTTCTGTTGAGGGAATCGCATCAGAATTAGGGTTTCTTTTTTTCCGCAAAGTCCTTCGCAACTCAAGAATTGGCTGTTCGTAAATTTGAAATTTCTTTTTGCCATCTCCCTTTTCTTGTCTTTACGGAACTTTACGATTTCCCTAATCTGACCTACCGCAATTTCTCGAAATTCAAAAAATTTGTGCCTAATTAGTCTTGGAAATTAGGATATTGTTGCAGATTTCGTTTTTCAAAAATCGTGATTTTCATTGCCTTATTTCGACATTTTTTTTTTCCTGGCACATGTATTCCAAGAAAATTCTTTTCTGCAAATTTCAATTATTGTCACAAAATTATACTCGAAATTCCGCGATTCTCCTCCTGATTCCATTAACGAGTGAAACGGTTTCCACCTTCGCAGTAGCAAATGTAGATCTCGGGCCTCGATCCCTAGCCCTGTTCTCACCCGTGTACAGTATCAAGTCGATCCTGTGTGTTTGAACCCGCAACCTAAGTCTTGGTAGTTGACTGATGTCTGTTCTAGGTCGATGTAGTTGTTGGGTTTCGATCCGTAGATCTGCTGAGTAGGGGTCGCTGTTACGGACTCAGCCAGGGCTCGACCCCTGGTCCGCGGGGTACCAGCCGCCAGCCTGCTATTTTTTTATTTATTTTTTTTTCCTGCTCTTCGGTTTCTGACTGTTGGCGCCCTCTGCAGTTGGCGCCCTTTTTCAAATCCCTCCTTTGGCACTTTCGGAGTTCGACACTTGGCGCCATCCGACATTCTGGCGCCCAGACTCAGACTTTCGATTCTCAGTTCAGTCCTGAGGCAATGGCACTTCTGCCCTCCGGACTGAACTCGAGTCCGGTACTTAAGAACAGCCTCAGTGTTTGTGCTTCAGTGTGACTTGCTTCGACATTGTGTTCGGGAATCGAAGACTGCGACTTTGCAACTTCGCCACTTCGTGTATGCCTCCGTCGAGTCTTGTCGAGTCTGCGTCAAGTTGAGTGAGTGTGTGTGTGCCCTCACCCTCTCCTCTCTCTCCCTCAGCCTCGCTACTCTGCCTCTGCCTCTGCCTCGTCACACTGGTATCAGAGCGGCTTCGGCCCTCCCTCCCACCCTGTTCCATCATCGTCGCAGTCGTTGCCATGTCATCGTCGTCGTCGTTGCCACATCATCGCCATCGTCCTCATCTTCGTCGTCTTCATCGCTGCCACGTCAGTGCCTCGTACCTGCCGTCGTCGCCATTGCCACATCAGCACCTCGCTGCCTCCCTCGTCGCTGCTGCAACGCCAGCGATCCCGAAGCCGACGCGCAGGTAAGTGACCAATAAACTTTCTTTTTTTTCTTCTTCTTCCCCTCGTCGCCGTCGTCATCGCTTCCATTCCTCCTCCTTCCTCCTCCTCCTTTCCTCCCTCGATTCTTGTTCTTTCTCGTCCTCTTCAACCCTCCTTCCCCCCCATTCTTCTTCCTTCTCCTCGTCGTCGTCATCATCCCTCCTCCTTCGTCTTCTTCTTCCTCGTCTCCATTCCCCCTTCCTCCTATGCTCCATCTCCACCTCTCTTCCCGCTCGCTATTCCCCC